GGTCATGAACTCATGGTCCGTGGGTCCGAGCCCCGCGTCGGTCTCTGTGCTGATAGCTCAGAGCCTGGAGCCTGCTTCGGATTCTGTGTCTCCCTCTCTCTCTGCCCCTCCCCTGCTCATGCCCTGTCTCTCTCTGTCTCAAAACTAAAAATACATTAAAAACAAAAGAAAAGAGAGTGCTTTATATGGGAACATGCCATCTGAACGTGAGGGGGCTCTCACTGCAATTATGAGTAGAGAACCACTTTTCTTCACAGGTCGCCTTTGAGACCATCTTAACATCTTATTGTCCCATGGCCAGTGCTCTATGAATGGTTGTCTATAACAAACAAGCAATTGATCAGTTTATTGATTACCTTTTGTAGGAGAACAGACTGCATGGTTTTGTGGGCTGTTGCTCTGTTGTAACCAGGTAAAAACAAATCACCTCATGGGCTAATGTGCATGGCTATTTTCTCTATGTTGGGATTTCATCAACGGGAGCAGTGAGAAATTACCAGGCAATATGGTCATGGGAAGGGGCTGTGGAACAGTGACATGTTAAAGAGGTGCTCTAAAATGCTACAACACGGATGAATCTTGGTAACGTTACCCAAAAGAAAGTGGCCAGTCACAAAAGTGACTATTCATTATATGATTTTCTTTATACAGGATGTTCAGAAAAGTAAATGTTCAGACAGAAAATAGACTGGAGGTTGCTTCAGGTAGTGGGATTGCAGGAAAAGAGGGCTGGTGCTAAGGGCACAGGTTCTCCTCGGGGTGATGATCGTATGCTAATCTTGAAGCGGTGATCATTCCACAAGTCTGTCCATATACTAAACTCCACTGAATCGCATATTTGAAATGGGTGACGTGTATGATATGTAAATTGTATCTCAGTAAAACTGTTAAAAACTGTTAAAAAACCAATTTCACAGTTGTCACTAATTCTTTTTAAAAATATAGATATTCATAAAAGCGAGCAGTTATTGACATGTATAAATAGTTTACTATTTTTGTATTTAAATGAGTATCTTTTGCCCAATAGAAAGGTTATGAAAATGTACCAATGATAAGAGCTTCAAGAAATTTAGGAAACTGTCCCTGTTTTATGTCAATATCCTGGAAAGACAGAATGGCAGTGCCATATAAGTTCACTGGGAGAGACAATGCATGACCCTGTGACTCTCATTAAGTGGTGTTTAGAGATAATTAAAATGAGTTGAAGAAACTCTCTTAGTAATGTAACTATTTTCTAAGGTGAACACTTTTTAGAAAGGGGTCAGTGATTCCAATCTTTCCTTTCATCTACAGCATGTTAGGTGTAAGTTTAATGGAACATATCTGTCAAATGTTTAATAAGCACCTGTCAGATTTTATTACTGACCACTAATCATGTTTATTTTACTTTCACAAAGATTATCTGCCTGTGTAATAATAAAAATAAAATATGTTTTAGGAATCAAAATTGCAACACATAGAAATGTTTGAAATAAAAAAAGATGGGGGCAGAAGAACCCACACTGGGTAACTCGTATACCAGAAAGGCAGCTGCATTTACTCACAGGGGTTGGAACCATTTTCTTATGTACCTTTAGTATAGTCAGTAGAGGGAGAATCTCTACTAATTTTCTTTAATGAAGTGATGACCTCTTGTCTATTCTGTATTGTTTATCTCAGGAAGTTTAGAATCACCTGTGAGAATGCTTACTTGGGTATATGAGAGAAGTCAGAGGGGGAGTAAAAGGTTTTGTGTGGAAATTCCTAGATGTGGATGCCACAACCATTCTCTCTTCCCAGGCATATCCCACCCACTGACCACATCCCCAAATGGACAGGGGGGCTGTTAGGGGACTTCTCCTTGGAACTGGAAGAGATGGTAGACCCTTCTGGTCTGACAGTTCAGAACAGGACACACACAGGCATGGGAAGCATTTGTAGAGTTTACACAGCAGAGATTCTGATCCAAACATTTTGTCTCCAGCGTGGACTCATGGCTTTTAACAGTTATTGTGAGGACTGTGAACTGAAATGCATACAGTCTATGCACAAAGAAGTGTATGGGCCATCCCGATGTCCTTGTTTTATGGGTGTATGAGTGCATGGGAGTGATGTGTGAGTGTGAGTGTTTGAGAAAGAGACTGTGTGTGTGACTGTGTGTGACACTGTGTGTGAGGTGGTATGTAAAAGGGTTGCCTTGTCACAGTCACTGTGAAAAGCTGGTAACCTAGGTAAGAAAGGACTCTTGTGCTGGTGCGGCCAGGGTGTGTGTTGGGCTTACAGTTTATCCAGACCATTACTGTGTATGTGACCAGGGATTTATTGTTAGGAAATCTCTCACTGTCTCCTACTCTTCAAACCTCACTGTCCTCAAGCAGAGCCACAGTGATCTACACAACACAGGATATTTTAGACATCATCTCATCTGGGGTCACAAAGTTCCAGTGCATTACTTGATTCTCAAGGCTATTCAGAGTCTATAATTCCAAGCTGGTTTTCATGACCTTTGATGATTTAACATTCATCACATTCCCTGGAAGATTCATGTTTTCTAATATCAAGAGGACCAGTTGTTAAGCCTCTGGACTGACAAGAGATTTTTAGAAAACACTTCAAAGTTTTAAAATGTGCCTCCTGTGGTTTTCCATGAAACACCTGGGCTCTGTAATAAGGAAGATATTGGCCCGATCAAGCACAGTCCTCTTATTTTCTGTTTCTCTGGCATTACTTTGTAAGGCTTCATTTGAAGAAAGGAGATGTAGGGAAAATGATGTGAGGTCCTTGAGGAGTGAGAAGATCCACTAGTTTGGATGTCACATGACCTCCGTCTGCAACCAGATGTGCTTGTGACCTTGAGATCCATTATTCCTCCATGTTCTTAATGGGGACCATATATAAAATGCCCAGCACATTACATCTAGAATGTCTGCCCATCTATCCTCTCTAGAATCAATATGTCAGACAATGTGTGTGTGTGAGTGAGATACCTTTACTATTGTGATTTTTGCCACTAAAGTCCTCAGTAGCTTTTCAGGCTATAGGATGTTGCAAAGCAGTACCTTCTTGTTTAAAAAAAACTTTTTTTTTCAACGTTTATTTATTTTTGGGACAGAGAGAGACAGAGCATGAACGGGGGAGGGGCAGAGGCAGAGGGAGACACAGAATCGGAAACAGGCTCCAGGCTCCGAGCCATCAGCCCAGAGCCGGACGCGGGGCTCGAACTCCCGGACCGCGAGATCGTGACCTGGCTGAAGTCGGACGCTTAACCGACTGCACCACCCAGGCGCCCCAAAACAGTACCTTCTTAAATGAGTGTTGAGAACACCTTCTTTAAGGTTTCCTTGGTAAGTGTAGCGTTAATAAGACTGTATTTCCAACTACTACATTAAGTTAGTATCTGAAGAAGAATGTTCAGATTTCCAACGTTTGCTCAATTCCTTAGAGTACTTTAAGTTAATATCTGATGAAGAATGTTCATATTTCCAACACTTGCTGGATTCCTTAGAGATGAGGATACTGTAATATCTTTTTGAAATAAAACCATAGAATAATTTAAAGAGAATAAATGGGAGCAACAGCTTATTTCTCTATAGAGAATAATTTTCAGGGCACCTGGGTGGCTATATCGGTTAAGTGTCCAATGTCAGCACAGGTCATGATCACATGGTTCGTAAGTCTTGGAGCCTGTAGCCTGTAGCAGTTATATATATACACGTATGTACATACATACATACATATATACATATATGTATGTACGTATGTATATAGTGTTTTTATGGTATCCCGGAAAGATGTTTGTCATGGATTGCCAAAGTAGCAATTGAGATTCTACTGGGTTGCTCTACACATTGAGTTTCCTCACAGTCAGTGTAGAAATACAAGTTCACAGGGAGGAAATTATTAGCCCTTTTGATGTGAAACACTTTTAAAATGAGGACCCTACCCTTCTTTTCTGGGTCTACCAACTTTCATTTGGGTAAGCCTGAAAATCCCTGGTGAAGAGTGAAAAGTAATCAGTGAGTAGAGGCACCTTTAGAACAGGGATGTTAGAACATGGACAACAGCAGATGTGTTGCCCATGATATACTAGAGGCTGGTGAAAAATGCTGCCTGGCACATCCAACCATGCTCATTGGCTCTAGGTTCTTTCAGCTATAAGAGCAGATCTGAGTAGATCCTATAGGGACTCCGTCTCCTCCAAATGTAAAACACTTATTTGTCCCTTTCTATGTTTGCTTCCCCTTGAACTAAACTGTATGTAACTTCTCTTGATCTAATTAGGTGTATTAGATTTTTCAGGAAGTTTTGAATATACAGTCTATACACACAGGCTTTCATAAAGAACCATTTATCCATTTCTGGTGTTCACTATTTCACTGATCTCTTTTGTCTCTGCCTTTGCACAGAAAAAAATTTTAAAAAAGGAAAAAAAAAAAAAAGAGGTTAGAACGGGAGGGAGCCAAAACATAAGAGACTCTAAAAACTGAGAACAAACTGAGGGTTGATGGGGGG